ATTGGTTGGTTTGAAATCCACCAATCAGAGTGCTCTGTGTCATTTTACACAGCGTGGGAAAGTTCTTTGGAATTTTCCCACGCTGTGTAATTTGACTCATAACTCTCTGATTGGTTACTTTCAATCCACCAATCAGAGTGTTGTTATGAGTCAGGGGTGGGGGCCGGGGGGGGAGGACATTAGGTCCCCCCCCTTTTTAGTATTTACAGCCCCCACCTGCCGCTCAGGGGTGGGGGCCAGGGGGGAGGACCTTAGGTCCCCCCCATTGTGATTTATTTGCCCCCACCCACCGCTCAGGGGTGGGTGGCGGGGGGAGGACATTATGTTCCCCCCCTTTTTAGTATTTAGGGCCCCACCTGCCGCTCAGGGGTGGGGGCCAGGGGGGAGGACCTTAGGTCCCCCCCTTTTTAGTATTTAGGGCCCCCATTACAGCCTTATGTTGCTAAAACAAGATCATATCTTAAGGATTCTATCGATCTATTAAACAAGTTAAATAATATTCAATGGGAAAAAGATTTTTTGCTGATTACCTGTGATGTTCAGTCCTTATATACCATCATTCAACACCACCAAGGTTGCAAAGCAGTGAGGACCATTTTAGAAAGAGAAAACACAATGCCACAGGACCAAATAGATTTCTTAATTGAAGGTATAGACCTAATTCTTAACAACAACTATTTTTGGTTTAAAGATGGTTTTTACCTACAAAAAAGAGGCACTGCTATGGGCACCAGGTTTGTGCCCAGCTATGCTAACCTCTATATGGCTGAATGGGAGGAGAGATATATATGTAGAGGGCATGGCTGGACGCAAAACCTGGTGTCCTACTCAAGATATATAGATGACCTTCTTTTTATATGGCAAGGATCTTCCACGGAAGCTAGGGAATTTATCTCCTTCCTGAATACTAACCAGGAGGGGATAGTTCTTACCTCAGAAATAAGTGATACACAGATTACATACCTAGACTTGAAAATCTACATTAAAAACAAAAAAATTTATACTAAAACTCATTTTAAGGAAGTTCATGTTAACAATTATATAGACACAAAAAGCTGTCATAATAAAGTTTGGCTAGATAGCATCCCAAAAAGCCAAATGCTAAGACTGAGGAGAAATTGCACAGAAACTCCCGTCTTTAAACAACAAGCTGAAACAGTTAAAGAAAGGTTTTTACAAAAAGGATATAATAATGATGCAGTTCAATCTACTTTTAACCAGGTATTGTCAGTCAATCAAAAAGAATTGTTATCTAATAAAAGAATCCAGAAACAAAATATATCACTACCTATAATATTAGACTATAACAATAGAAATAGAGAACTTAAAAAAATTATTAACAAACATTGGAACCTATTAAAAGAAGATGCCATTTTAAAGAATTTACTACCAGAAAGACCAAAAATAGTTTTTAGGGGAGCACCAAATTTAAAGATGCACCTCACAAAAAACTATACGAAACCAAAAACAAAATATACAGGGGCTAGTTTTTTAAATGAATCTAAAGGTTTTTATAAATGTAATATATGTGTTGCTTGTCGAAAAACTAAACTTATGCCCAAATTGAGAAGTAATTTTAAATCAAACAATAATGGTAAGACCTATAATATTAAAGAAACAATTACATGCAATAGTAAAAATGTAATTTATTTATTGGAGTGCCCCTGTGGCCTCCAATATATAGGACGAACTATTAGACCTTTAAAAATACGAGTAGCGGAACACTGTAGAAACATAGAAAAAGGTTTTAAAAATCATTCAGTTTCTTCGCACTTCTGCATGCATAATAATGATCCTAGTAATCTCACTTTTATTGGTATCACCATTGTAAAACCTCATTGGAGAGGAGGTGACCACATTAAGAAAATTGGACGCACAGAGATGGAATGGGTTTACAATATGAATACTCTACACCCAGATGGTCTAAATGTGGAATTTGATCTGTTTAATTTTTTATAGAAATAGTTTTTTATAAATATATTTTTCTTTTATAATAATATTTTATAATAATTTATAATTCTCATTTGGCTCAATAAATTGTTTTTTTATCCAATTTTAATACATTCCATCCCTGGGCTTTCCCCTTTTTGATTTTTGGACCTTTGGAATAATTTTTTATGCACCTATAGCTTTTACATATACTTTGTTTCAATTTTAGTAATTTTCAAGAGTATTTTCTATGATAATATTTTTAATTTTAGACATAAGTCATATTTATATGTATTCTGTGTATTTTTTATTTTTATTTTTAACACATTACTTTTTATACATGTATATCCAATTCCATTTGAAGTTGGACATTGCCTTATGGTGTATTTTTTTCTCTTTTTAATGTGTTTGGCTTTACATGCTGAGATTCAAATGATGTGAACATTTGAACTTAATCTTGGACCATGTTTATGAGACTTTTGGTGAACAGAAGATCACTTTGTGACCACTATGCGCCCCACTGTTGGAACGCATTAATTTACAATTCCTGACATCTGACCTTTCTTCAAAAGAGGATCTATGCGCCCCACTGTTGGAACGCATTAATTTACAATTCCTGACATCTGGCCCTTCTCCAAAAGAGGATCTCTGTCATCTGCAATCGCCGTGGAAGACTTCTGTTGCCATAGAAACATGCCGCGAACACTATGCGTTCCACCGTTGGAACGCATGTATTCAAACTGCCTGTGGTTACGTCGCGTCACTTCCGGTGCGATGCGTGCGTTCCACGGTGGGTATCTTTGTACACGTGGACGCCGCGCCGCTTCCGGTTTGTTGCCGCGTGCGTTCCACAACACACCAGGAAGCCATCTCTACATATGTAAGTTTATATATAAAGGATGAACTTGAGGACATTTACTTTATACTTCTGATGAAGCCGAATTGGCGAAACGCGTAAAGTGTTTTTTTTTATAGCCCTTTTTGTTTACTATATTGCTATTATTTGTTATCATTAAATAATTTTAAAGTGATATACTACTTTATTTTTATTCACCATTCCTCATCACTTCCTGGTATCATATATCCTTCAGTGGGGATTATACCACTGCAAGCCTTCTATACTAGAGCAAGTTGTCTGCTCTAACAAATGTGAGTACAATAACCTTCATTTTATTTGTTCCACATTTGAAATTAGAACTGCTACACTATTGGAGTTCTCTCTCTTCTGTTTCCATTTTTATTTATGCCATCACATCAATGGAGCATTGAAAAGTTGAACTTTCTATCCTGAGACGGGTATTGTACCGTCCGTGCAAGATAAGGTAGAGCTCCTGATTAGCTCTACCAAATGTGAGTTTGAAATACCTCAGTTTATACATTAATTTTGACCTTTATTATAGCATATTGCACTATTGTATCTCCCTCTCTGTGTTTTTTTTTTGAGGATATATTATTCACACCGATTAAGGGACATCAAGTGTATGTATGTAAGAATTTATTTAAAGCGCAGTTTCTTCTCCTTCTTTTATTTAGGGCCCCCACCCGCCGCTCAGGGGTGGGGGCCAGGGGGGAGGACCTTAGGTCCCCCCCATTGTGATTTATTTGCCCCCACCCACCGCTCAGGGGTGGGGGCCGGGGGGGAGGACATTAGGTCCCCCCCCTTTTTAGTATTTAGGGCCCCCACCCGCCAGGGGTCAGGGGGGAGGACCTTAGGTCCCCCCCTTCTTAGTATTTAGGGCCCCCACCCACCCTCAGGGGTGGGGGCCGGGGGGGACAGAAGTTCCCCCCCTATTGTTTTTTTTAGGGCCCCCACCCACCGCTCAGGGGTGGGGGCCGGGGGGAGGACAGTAGGTCCCCCCCCATATCATTGAGTAAACTTTGACAACCCCCACCCCCGAGCGGCGGGTGGGGGGGTTGTCAAAGTTTACTCAATGATATGGAATAGGGGGCGGACCGAACATCGCATATGTTCGCCCGCCGTGGCGAACGCGAACATGCGATGTTTGCCGGGAACTATTCACCAGCGAACTGTTCGGGACATCTCTATTTAACATAATATATAGGCTATTTGCCATTATTTTATAAACATCAATGTATATAAATTAGTTTGACTGTCCAAATACACAGGGAAATAATTTGTATCCTCAGAATTAAATGTAAATCAGAATTTATAAAATACAGATCACATAGTTGTTATTTTAATTTTGTGTGATATATTTTATCTTTGTGAAATAAAAAAATCATTGTGTCATTAGTTTCCGAATTTGATTTGTAAATCTCTTTTACAATTCTCTACTATGAATTCAATAGTAGATAATAATACACAAACACTATTTTTAAACAAGATTTACATTTGTCATGCAGTAATAAAATGTTCCAGTCAGAATTAAAATGAAAGAAGATTTCATGCAATATTTTTACGATGCAATTTCTGTAGATGACTTCCAAAAACAAACATACACAAACCACCGATAGAATGTCCTTTTAGAACAATTCCAAAGAAATGTAAGTGGAATGTTCCATTATATTTGGCTGAAATATTTATTTTATGAAGAGAACCAATATAAAACCATTAATACCTCTATTTTTTTACAGCTTGTCCACCTTTTCATTTTCATATAATGTATTACAATTTACCCCATATGCTCTTGTATTACACATCTCCTTCATTTACATGGTTATTCAATAAAGTGAGAATTTAAAGTGAATTAAACATTTTAGGCTAAAGTAGCCAAACTAAATTTTTAACTCACTTAGAGATTTTTTACACTTCAGCTATTTTAGACTTAAATTTGAAAATGACTTTAAATTCACTTTGCTTTCTCACATTAGTGAATGACCATGTTTGTTTTTTTCCCTATTTCATCAACACCTTTTTATTCTCCTCCACTTTAGCTCATTTTATGTGCATAGGGAACGGCACTCAAGATGCATGGCCCAATAGAGAAAGATTAGTGTACTCACTTATGTTCCTGAGTAGTGATGTCCCGAACGGTTCGCGAACGGTTCACCACGAACGGTTCGCCATGGACTCATCAGTGAGTAAACTTTGACCCTGTACCTCACAGTCAGCAGACACATTCCAGCCAATCAGCAGCAGACCCTCCCTCCCAGACCCTCCCACCTCCTGGACAGTATCCATTTTACATTCATTGTGAAGCTGCATTCTTAGTGAGCTGTCCAGGAGGTGGGAGGGTCTGGGAGGGAGGGTCTGCTGCTGATTGGCTGGAATGTGTCTGCTGACTGTGAGGTACAGGGTCAAAGTTTACTCAATGATGAGTCCGTGGCGAACCGTTAGTGAACCGTTCGGCACATCACTATTCCTGACACATGTCTGCATACATTTTATACACAAATCATGTACATAGAACTCTTGGATCATACCATTCCAAACTGTAATGTATGACCTATGTTTGGAGTCATGTAAGCACTCAGTGTCAACATTAAGGGACATCCCATCTAATGCAGTAATATAATAACAAAATGCATAGTTGGGATTGGAAGATGTAAAAAACCACCAAGAGACCCAGATAAATCAGATAAGGAGTTTAAGCATTTCAAAATATATGAAAGTAGGTACTAATCATATAGCAGAGGAGTGTGAGATAACATATTTAGTGTCATTCTCACAGCATGATAACGTATCAAATATACCAGTTATTGGTAATTATGTCCTCCATTCTCATTTCCAAATGAATGCTTACAATTCTGGATGACTAGACATACTTATTCAAATTAAATAGACAGTGTGAATTGGAAGAACTTAATGATAATCGTGCACCTATGTTGATGAATAATTTATTTGAAACAAACATATTTAACAGGATTTATTCAATCAAAGGTAAACACGTGGTAATATAGTAATTTAGGTCATCAAAGCTTCAAGATCAGCCTTTCATAAATCACTATAAGTGATGTTGATCAAAAAGATTAAAATATTGTAGGATGGATAAAATAGCAATTATAAAAAAAATTGTAATAAAATAAAGTAATATAAAGTTTAGAAGATGGCCCACATCTGGAGTACACAAAATCCACAAGCAAGAAAATTGCTTTGGGGTGGTAAAATATGATAATTTCACTCATTGAGATTGTTTTCATATCTTAGGCAGTACTTCCAGGGATCATATAGAGGGACCATATAAGGCTAGGACCTCTCTCTGTCTTTTTTATTAACCAATAAGGAGTCTTTAAAATGCTACCATTCTATGTAAAAGCTCATCAAAGGAAAACAATAGCGTATAGACTATTCCTTCCCCAGCAATACCAGTAGGGCTGACAGTCTGTCCCTGGAGAGTGTGGCCAAGATATTAAAAGGGTAATAAAAACAGCAGGATACAAGGAAAGATTCTCCCACTAATCTTTTAAGTTTAGATGCTTAAAAGGTTTTGGATCTTGTTAGTTAGGTCTTTATGCTTCATATTTTGAAATATAGATTTTGAAATACAGATTGTCCCTGGAGCTTTGGCCAAGATAATAAAAGGATAATGAAAACAGCAGGATATAAGGAATGATTTTCCCACTAATCTTTTAAGTTTATATGCTCAAAAGGCTGCAGATCTTGTTAGGTCTTTATGTTCCATATTTTGAAAAACAGATTTTTAAAATTACATATGGAATCTTTAGAAGAACCCTTTTTAAGACTTACTACTACAAATGATTTAGATTCAAAATGTAATTATGAGCAACTTGTAATTATGAGCAATTATGACTGTTGTATACTCCTTTTACGTCTTTTTCAGTTAGACATGGACACTATTGTAAGGATTCTTTATTGATGTTAACATTTCCCTAGCTATTAAGGTCCAAACACATTCGACTCATTGAACTTCTTTCACTGAATATCTATTTCTATACATCTCTGACAAACCGAAAAATACCCTCATAAGACTCTTTCCCATTTTACTCATTAAAGTCAGCACAGCACGTTCGTTCTAAATCAGTAACTGTGAGGTTTTATATTAAAATACATTATATATCCCCTCACTACACTCTAATTATGATCCGATGATATAAACCATTTGAGAGTCCTTATCCCTAGTGATATTACTAATCTATATTCTTTGAACATTTTATTAATGAAATGTCATAATAAGTTTTAAGATATTTGAGTCACATGCCTCTGACTTCTCGGTAAAGGCTTATTTTTGAAAACAATAATACTCCTAAATTTTTATAGCACCGCCATATGATTTCCATATTTTTTCCCATAACAAAAGATCAAACAAATTAATTGTATTACCAATACTTTCCAATGGCAAATTCAAAAAATAGCTCCCTCTCACCTGCAGCAACTCGAGTTCAATGTTGCATAGAGATTTTACGATTTTTCTGAGCAAGATATTATTTTGCTGCAGAGGGATTTAGATAGATTGGAGGACTGGGCAGTCAAATGGCAGATGCAAGTAATGTAGAAAAATGCTAAGTTATGCACCTCAGGATAAAGAATGCACACTATTATTCTTTTTTTATATTGTAGATCTGCAGCTGTATCCTCTCTTGTTTGTATGCATAAAGAATGCACATGCATTTTATACCCTAAATCATATAAAAAGTGGCATTAATTCTCAGCATGAGAATATAATTTTGCCTCTTTAAATATCACTGGTAAGACCACATTTTGAATATGCTGTGCAATTTTGGGCACCTGTTGTAAAGAAAGATATTATGGCGCTAGAAAAATTGTAGGCAGGCTCCAAAATTAATAAAAGGAATGGGACATTTTAGGGATGAAGAATGGTTAACAAATGTAATGATAGCATTATACAAATATATCCAGGGGCCCATGCAAACCATTGTCTGGAAATCTATTCACAAAAAGGACTATACATAGGACACAAGGTCACGTGTTTAGACTGGAAAGGAGATTTAGCCTAAGGCAAATGAAAGTTTTTTGTTTTTTTATAGTAAAAATGATCTGCCTGAAGAAGTGGTTTTATGGTGGTGTCTGCAGATGTTTAAACAGCAACCGGATGCATACTTAAAAAACATAATATTCAATGATGTAATTTTTAAATTGTGGGTAATGACTTCTTGATCCAAGGATACATCTGACTGCCATTCTGGAGTCAAGAAGGAATGTTTTCCTAGTTTGTTGCAAAGTTGGAAGTTTTTTTCCCTTCAAAAAACAGATGTGAGAAAGTCTGAACTTGATGGACACATGTCTGTTTTCAGCCTATTTAACTATGTAAGACAAGCACATATGTTTTGCAAGTTTGCACGTGGAAGAATTGTCAGTTTTCCAGAATTATAATCCGAGTCGTGCGCAGTCATGTGAAAAAAGGAAGAAAAGACACAGACAGAAACGAAAACTTGGTGAGCAACAATATACCTTATAAATAGTGATGTCCCGAACGGTTCGCCGACACATTCCAGCCAATCAGCAGCAGACCCTCCCTCCCAGACCCTCTCACCTCGTGGACAGCATCCATTTTACATTCATTGTGGAGCTGCATTCTTAGTGAGCTGTCTAGGAGGTGGGAGGGTCTGGGAGGGAGGGTCTGCTTCTGATTGGCTGGAATGTGTCTGCTGACTGTGAGGTACAGGGTCAAAGTTTATGTTTATGTTCACCGTCCGTGGCGAACCGTTCGGCGACCGTTCGGGACATCACTACTTATAAATGATATTACACATAAAAGTAAAATGAGGTTTACATTTTTGTATCATTCTTATTCAGATGCAGTATTGTGGCAATCTATATACACACAAAGTTAAATTGCTAATAGTGAAATTGACAAGAAAAAACTAAATTGATTAAGAAAAAACAAAAGATCAAAAATGTTGTAAATGTAGTCTGCACTTACAATGCACTGATTTTTAAACAAGATCCACCTCAAGACAATTTTGAATCTGCAGAAAAAGAAATAGACATGAATGGGTTAAGAGATAACAAATAGAATTTAAGTGAATAGTGTAACAGTGTAACAATGAGTACATGCTGTAAATGTGAGAGATTGTCAGGAGTCTGTGAATTAGAGGAAAATGTTTATTTTAGAAATTATTTTATATGCCAGCTTAGTAATGAAGTAAAACAATTGTGCATTAAAAGTGGAGGCATGCAATTTAATTCCAGAATCAATTGAAAATATATCATATCAGAGTGATTTGCATACATGTAAATTTCAAGACAGAACTGCAAAAAACGTAAATGTAAATTATTTGTTGTGCTTTTCCTGAGTTTGTAAGATGTAGATTAGGATTGAGTGTTCCTGGGCAGTATGACCCAGGAAATAGGGAATACGGATTGTATTGTATAGCGTACTAGGGAATATGGATTGATCAGTCAGAACAAATGTTTCGCTAATATTTTGGGCAAGCCTACTTTTATGTTATTATGTTTTACTTTAATAAGTCATCACATTAAGCTAGTGATGACAATAAACTGAAATTATTACTGAATATACAATTTGAATATTCTAATAGTAAAGTGCTGATACAATCATCACTGTTAAATTTCAAAACACTACAATGTGATGATAATAAATAAAAATTTGTATTTCTTCCAAGCTCTTCCAAACCATTCTCCTACGAAATGACACGTTTGTAATTATAGGGTGGAATATTACTGGGAATGATAATGATGTGATAGAAAAATTTCTGGGTGGAGATTTTTGTAGAACAAGTATTGTCACTGCGATGAATGTGTTTTGAAGAATATTTAAGAACTGCCTGATAATTTTGATAATAAAAGTACCTGTGAATATCTACAAGCTAGAGTTTGTATATTTCAGGTAGCAAGAACCTATTGAATGTACAATTTGAATATTTTGAATGTAAAGTACTGATGCAATCATGAGTAGGTAGAGTTGAGCTTTCGTACTGAACATTACAATTTTCTGACCCCGAACCCAAGCCCGGACATTTCAGTAACAGTTCAGGTTCGAGTTCGGTGTTCAGAGATTTAATGGCGCGTTTTGAAAAGTTGCAGGGCAGCCAATCAACAACTGTTTGACTCGTGTGCCCTTAGAAGCCATCACAGCCATGCCTACTAATGGCATGGCTGTGATTGGCCAGTGCAGCATGTGACCCAACCTCTATGTAAGCAAGTAGGGACATGTCTATTAAACAGTGAGCAGCCTGTGGCTGCTCACTGTTAAATTTTTTTCTTAAATGGGGCCCCCCTCCTGAGCTCCCACTCATGACGTGTTAATCTAAAGGGGGGACCTATTGCCCCCCTCCTGGCCCCCACCCCTGAGTGGCGGGTGGGGGGCCCTAAAGTAAAATAATGGGGGGACCTATTGTCCTCCTCCCCGGCTCCCACCCCTGAGCGGCGGATGGGGGCCCTAAACACCAATAAGGGGGGGGACCGATTGTCCTCCCCCTGGCCCCCACCCCTGAGCTGCAGGTGGGGGCCCTAAATTAGAATAAGGTGGGGGGACCTATTGTCCTCCCCCTGGCCCCCATCCCTGAGCAGTGTGTGGGGCCCTAAATTAGAATAAGGAGGGGGCCTAATGTCCTCCCTCCTGGACCCCAACACTGAGCGGTGGGTGGGGGCCCTAAATACAAATTAGGGGGGACCTAATGTCCTCCCCCCTGGCCCTCACCCCTGAGCAGAATAAGGGGGAGATCTAATGTCTTCCCCCCTAACCCCCCCCGAGCGGTGTGTGGGGGCCCTAAATAAAAATTGGGGGGACCTAATGTCCTCCCCCCTGGCCCCCACCCCTGAGCGGTGGGTGGGTCCCTAAATACCATTTGGAGGGGACCTAATGTCCTGACTCCTAGCCCCCACCCCTGAGCCATGGGTGGGGGCCCTAAATTAGAATAAGTGGGGCCTAATGTCTTCCCCCTGGCCTCCACCCCTGAGCGGTGGGTGGGGGCCCTAAATAAAAATTGGTGGGAGCTAATATCCTCCCCCATGGCCCCCACCCCTGAGCGGTGGGTGTGGGCCCTAAATAGCAATTAGGGGGGGGACCTAATGTCCTCCCCTCTGGTCCCCACCCCTGAGCGGTGGGTGGGGGCCCTGAATAAAAATTGGGGGGGACCTAATGTCCTCCCCCTGACCCCAACCCCTGAGCGGTGGTTGGGGGCCCTAAATTAGAATAAGGGAGGGACCTAATGTACTCCCCCTGGTCCCCACCCACCGCTCAGGGGTGGGGGCCCTAAATATTAATAAGGGGGGACCTATTGTCCTCCGCCTGGCCCCTAAATAAAAAATTAACCCCCTTCCCCAGGTGTCTAGGGGTCCCCAAACACCTAGTCACCCCCCACCCCCAAAAAATTAACCCTAAAAATAATGAGGGGGGACCATTAGCTAAGTATCTGTAAAAAAAATAAAATAAAACTTACCATTTGATGTTTTCTTTCTTCTAAAATCTCATTTTTTCAGCCCCAAAAAAGGCCAAATAAAAATCCATAATAACTGACATATTAGGTCCCCCCTTATTCTAATTTAGGGCCCCCACCCACCGCTTATGGGTGGGGGCCGGGTGGGAGTCAGGGGGAGGACAAAAGGCGCCCCCTTATTTTACTTTAGGGCCCCCACCCATCCATAGGCTGCTCACTGTTTAATAGACAGGCCCCTACTTGCGGTATAGCGAGTAGGGGCACAATTTACTAATACTAAGTAATCTTTATTTAGTATTAGTAAATTTGCCTGAAAGACCAATTCAGGTCTTTCAGCCTTTCAGTAGATAGCTCTCTAATACCGTGGGAATTAAGGAGTTATCTACTTATTCATTCCTGTCATTACATTGACTGGCCAAGTAACCTACATATTATATGAATGTGTGTTACTTGATTATTGTAGGTCTTGCAAATGCTTACAGCTGAATCCTGGCTATGTTTGCATACTTTTTATTTAAAATTTTATACAATGTAACATTCTTCTTCTTCCACTGGGTAAGTGTATTAGTACTTAGGAATCGCTGTGTGACAATATCCCAATGAGTGACACCAAAAAAATGACAAATACTCAAAACACCTTATGTGGGTTTTCCCTTTATCCCCACATAAAAATAGAAATATACATACAATATAAGGTGGAGTATTTAAACAGTTATTCTTCCAGTGATAGATGAGATAAAGTTTTCCTTTTAGGAGTTCTCCCTAAAGTGTAAACATAAATAAAAAGGGATAGTGCAATATAGCTAATTCACGATATGGTGGTGCAATATATATAGGAGGTAAAGCACTCACAAACACGGAGCCAATGTAAATGCTCAAGGATGTAGTTCTGTGGGTACTAGAGGGACCCACTTCCTTCTTGCTACTGTCTGTAGTATCCAAGTAATAGGATGTCCTCTCAGGATGTAGCAAAGATAAAGTGCTTTATTTGAAAGTGCACAATAGTAACATAAAATATATTAAAATAAATGGAAAACCTTACAGTCTTAAAGGTTGATCCTTGTATAAGGTGCAAAACGTGTTTCGCCTCGTTTAGAGGCTTCCTCAGTTGCTGACTTGTGTTGTTGGGTGGTCCGTTTTAAATATCCCCCCTTTGGCGTTCTTTTTCGGGGTTCTTTGCCGTCCGTGATTTGGTCCTACTTTCACTTCCGGTTTCGGCTTTTGCGTTCCATCTGTGGAACGCAAACGTCACGTGACGCGCAAGCGTCACGTGACACGCTCTTGAACGTTCACATGCGTTTCAAAGCTCCGGTCCTCCATAATTAAGTCCTTCTCCAGAACAGAGGGGCTCATATCACAGTCTTTATTTAAAAGAAATATACTTCATATATATAATGTGTTAGTCCTTTTCCCTCTAGGTGAATACATAGAGTTATAGATATCTTTTAACAATATGTTAACTTTAAAAGAAAAATAGCATCACTATGAATAATATAAATGAAGAACAGATTAAAAAATTATTATTATATATCATTCACATTTAGATTAAGATCAATTAAAATCACTCTTATAAAAATCAATTAAAAAAAGGGCAAAAGAGCAATAAATGAATAAATAGATATAACTATTATCAAAAAATATATAAAATTATTATTTAAAAGTGACACACTTCAAAATCTGAATTAAGAGGGGATTAAAGTCTTAAAACGAAAAATAAAACTAATTTCTTCTTTTCCTAATGTCTGAATATAGTTACCCCCTCTCCAATTTCTTTTAATTTCTTTTATTGCACAAAAAAATAGATTTTCAGGGTTTTGGTTATGTACTTGTTTATAGTGTAATGATACATTGTGAGTTTCTAAACCATTTCATATATTTCTAATATGCTCTGCAATTCTTACTTTTAAAGGTCTGATCGTTCTACCTATATATAAAAGATTGCACGGACATTTCAACATATATATGATTCCTTTTGAATGACAAGTTAGGTGGTCATTTATACTGTACTTTTTTTAATAATCTCTTCTATATCTTTTAGATGTCTTCTTTTACTTTTAGTTGTCTTACAAGGAAGGCATGTTCCACATCCATAAAATCCCTTTAAATCTTGAATATGATTATTAGGTCTCTTGGGGGATAAATGACTTTTTACTAAAATGTTTTTAAAATTCTTAGCTCCTCTATATATTATCTTGGGATATACGGTAAAATCTGATTTAAAATTGGATCGTCTCTTAATAAATGCCAAT